TAAGCAAAGCACCACAGCCATCACCAGATTTGGAAAAAAGTCGAAGTGATAGACCACAAAAGGTGATACAACCAGAACAGAAAGAAACCTCCAGCATCTCATCATTATTTGGATCTCTTGGAGATCTCTTCAAAGTGGAGGCTGTGCCTTCTCAGCCAACCTCAAGTACTACGACTCTGCCAAAAACCAACAGGAGAACTGTGGCTGAGTCAAGGCAACAAACTGAGAAGTCCGGGGGTCTCCAGAGTGCCAGTATGCCATGTCTGTCCTCCACCTCTAAGGAAAGGGTGAGAACAGAAGGCATGGACAAGCAGGTCTCTCCTAGCCCTGGGGTGCAAATGGGACAACAAAGCAGAAGAGCTGAGGAGGACACTCCTGAGAGTAAAACAGCACCTCCTCGAAATGCTTCACAGAAGCCAGTGGGTGTAGGTGCCAAAATAAGCCAACTGAGTCAGTCATCAGTGCAGCAAAGCAGCGTACCCACGGTTACACAAAAGCATCAAGGAGGAAATCGTTCAGGAGGCACAGTTAATCAGACAAAACCAAAGCCAGATCAGACACCTAAAGAATCGGGTTTCAGTTTGCCGTTCAGCTTTTCTGATATCACTGCTTCGAAATCACAGCCAGCACAGCCAGCCAGTAGGAGCATATTCTCCTTCTTCACTGGATCAGACGAACCAAAGCCTTCAGCACCTGCTGCTGCTCCTGCTAGTGGGAAGCGGCAAGAAACCGAGGGGCTGTTTCACCTGCCCTCCTTCTTCTCCAGTGGTCCAACTGCTGAGAAGAGCATACCTCAAAGGAGTACTAGCTTTAGCTTCTTCAATTTGACATCCTTTTTGGATGAAAAGCCACAAACTGCTCCAGGACAGGAGAATAATACAAAAACAGCTAAACCAGTGAACTCTAAGCCATATGTGAAACAAAGTATTTCCACTGATGCTGGTGTCAAAATTAGCGGTTCTGCCAGGCAACAAGATGCAGACAATAAAAAAGAAGTTGATGATATTATTGCAGCAGTGACTGGCAAAAAAAAGTCTAATAACCTCAAGGTCCCAGAAAATAAATCAGAAATGCTGGCAGTGGAAAACATAGAAAGTGTTGCTGAGGTCACTGAAGAGAGTAACTTAGAGAAGCTGCCACAGACTGATGACACTGCAGTAACCAATTTGGCTGCTTCTGGTCCTTGCCTTCAGATTCCCAGTGTGCAGGAGGGGTCTCAGGGCCAACAGACTACTTCCTTAGGGGCAGAAGAAGATACTTTGGGTAGCACAGAGAAAATGGACAGTGTTGCATTTCCTATTGATGTAGAAGAGCCTTATTCTTCAAAAGACCAAGCTTCTGAAAAAAAAGATTATAGCACAGCCTTAGAGGATAAAATGGATTCCCAGAGTCTACAGGACTTAAATATTATGAATGACATAAAAAATGAAGCAATCTCTGAAGAAGTATGTGTGCAATGTGAATTGCCAGAACATAAATTACCCGAACAAACTCTTGGTGGCATGTTACAACAGGCACAAGAGCTACAGTCTCCTAAAACGCCAGAGGCATCTAATTTGCAAAACAAACCTAAGGAATTTGAGAATGATAAATCAGTACTGGATTCTTCAGTTGAAATGTTTTCAAGTTTCATGACAAAAATGAAACCACCTAAAACATTATCTGGTTTCTTTTCCCAACCTCAAGCTACTGCACCTCCTACTGCACAGAAGAAAAGCTCCTCTTTCTTTGGTTTCTCATCCATCCCAAGTAGCCCAGCACCAGCTTTCACAAATGATCTCTTTGGCATCTTCAAAGGTCCAAAAGAATCTCCAAAAGAGATGCCTCCAAAATCCATGCCTAAACCTCAAAACAGTAGTGTGAAAGATGTCACTGGGTCTGTTCCAGCAAAAGACTCTAGGGAGACAGAAGATACAGCTGCACCCAGAGAATCTAAAAGAGATGTCACAAGCTCGCCAAAGGAGGGTGCATTGCCTGTTTCAGCAGAAGAGAATGCCACAAAAGAGTCTCTTATGACAATAGAAACTGAGGAAGGTGGGAACTCAGAAACCTGTGAAGAGGAACCTTTGAGGATCACTCCAGAAATAGCAGTCCCTAGTGAAAATGAAGCCCTCGATATTCTGCAGTTGGATAATGATGCAGAGTCCTCTGAGATGATAGATACTAAGCCATGCCAGTCTGCTTTCAGTAATGCAGCTGGTACAGTGCAGGCCAAGGCCATTGACCAGACTGATGTAAACGCATACCAGCTAGGTGTGGGGTCTTCACATGTACCAAAGGAACAAGCTGCTTCTACAGACAAGGCAGCTGTTGACATCCTCCAGACTGGCTCTACTGATGGGCTTGAGCTGGAAATGGAAGCCCCAACTAATGAGGCAGACACAAACCTTTCACAATTGGATGAGAGTGTTACACTTCAATCAGAGCCCGCTGTTACAGGGAGTCAGACCGATGCTGGTACTGATCAGCAGGACATGGTCAGTAGCAATGGTATAGAGCCCACAGCCCCAGCTAAGCCCAGTGTTCATCTGCTTCAGCTGAAAGAAGAAAAGACAAGTGAGGTAGAACAGCCAACTGCCAAACAGGAGAGACATTTAGCAATTGATGAAGTGCCTGCAGAAGGGATTGCTTCCAAATGTGACTTGAAGAAACAGGGTAAGCCTAATAACATTCCTCCAAATGCAAACAGTACTAAAACGGTCTTTGAAATACCAAACATACCCAGTTTGCCAAAATTCGGCTTTATGTCATCTGTTGATAGTGGAAAGCCATTTGGGTCATTCTTCTCTCAGCAGCCACCTTCTGTTAATAAAGCAGGGACAGATCAAGGCCTCATGTCCAGCTTTAAGAAACTTTCTTCAACTCTGTTTGAAGGAGGTAGTGAAGAAAAGGTGAGTAAGCCAGAGAATGCCCAAGGAGCAGTATTTGGGAAAAAGCTGGATTTCTCCTTTCCCTGGCAAAAAGACAACAGGGAGACCTCTGCCAAAAGAGAACCACATGCATCACCACAGGCTTTGTCAAAACCAGATGATAAGGGGTTAGGAACAGTGAGTTCAGATGGAAGCTCAAAATCTTCAGTATCAGATCAACTGACTGATGCAAATATAGAAGTAAACTTGTCTTCAAAGCAGCCTGACACTGTAGACAATGAACTTTCTGGAGAACCACCTGGTGCAAGCGCTGTTGATGATACATCCAAGAAAGAGCTGGGAGACAAGTCTGATAAAAAGTCAGAAGATCAGCAGAATGTGATTTCAGGTGAACTGCAGAAAGAAGACCAGGCAGAAGAGCACACACCAGATGAGCCTGAACTGAAAAAAAATGAGCGTGATTCTTCTCCTAATGCAGCAGTGCTTCATCCTAGCACACAGGCTGCAGATCTGAATAATGTGGAACAACTGAATGAGAAAAGGCTAGTTACAAATGAGGCATAATAAATGGTTTCAAGTTTTTGACCATTTATAATGCAATACTGCAGCAGTAGATATTGGCCTTGGTGTATGATGTTTGTAGCTCAGTCCCATCCCCTATTTATTGTCAAGTGTTTGTAGTGTTACTGATAGCTGTCACAGAGGATGTGGCAAACTGCAGTCATTAGTTATGTACAAGCCCTTAGACCATTTTCTCACCTTTTTCCACTCTTTTTTCTGTAAATATACTTGGATTTCCCATGTTCTTATACTGTGTTCCACTGAATGAGATGCTTTTAGTGCTAATTTCATTAGCCTTTCAGAAGTTACATTCTTTGTGTGTTAATTCTGCTGCCTACAATTCACTTTGCTTTCTTAGTTAGTGATAATTATGTTGTATTTGCTAAGAAAAAAGTAGCAGTAGGTAGAATGTATTGGAAGGAATGAGCATTTTGTTTTCAAAATGCAAAGTAAAGGCTTTTAATTTTAGAGCGATATTTAACTTACTGCTGAGGTATTATAGAACTTATTAGGTTCATTCCACATTACTGAAGATTTTTAAAACATTTTCAGAGATATCAGTGAAGGTATTCTAATGCTTGCTCTTCCTGAAATCTGTGCAAAGGTTATTTCATGCAGTTAGGAAAGCCACTAAAGGAGAGTGTCAGTATTTCACGGGTCTGTATTCATCCTGTGCATGTGTTAAGTTACAGTTGTCCTCAAAAATCAAAACAGAGACTTGCTAAACTTGTATCTCTGCATGATGTAAGTGAAACTCGTGCCTCTGATCATACAGTTGCAAGACTGCACTCCCAAAACTTCCTATCTGGCTTCAAATCTTCCAAAGTGTGCAAGTGAGAGAAACATTAGTGATGCTTAATTCTCGGCCACAGTTTTTCTGACTGCATGAGAAGTTTCCATCTACTGTATTTTGTGTGAGGATTTTAGGAATTCAGTCCTGGAAGTGGTGTCTTGAATCACAGAGATCATGCCCCTGTGGCATTTTTTTTTTAATAGAAATTAAATTCTTGAAAAAACTATTGGAGTGAGACGTGTGGCTTCCCTTTGGACTGTTGGTCTACTTTTGTAAAAGATTTTAAGTTTATAGTCTTGACAACCTTAACCTTGACTGCAGGTTATTTTATCATAAACGTATAATATATATAAAAATAAGTTAACTATACTTCTTTACAATAGTCAACTTAAATGGTCATGGTAAAGACCTTAGCTGCAGTGAAACTGCAGAAGACAGAAACACTTCCACTCTGAATTGCTATGTTTCCATTCTTATTCCTGTGTGGTTATTAGAATATCTTCACTGTCAGTGTCTACCTAAGATGAAGAAATAGTCTGTACAAGAAAGATCATTGGCATATACTGTCTATATACTGGTGGGCTGTGTATGAAGTATGTCTACTGCTTACTGAAGTTTTGAGATTCAGAAGCCTAGATCTATTTCAGGGAGTATCATAGTTAAATATGACTTAGTAACATGTCTTTTAGTAATATTAGTGTCCCACTCAGTTTGTTAGATGTGCGTTTCTCCAAGCCACTGTTTTTCTTCTGATGGACTTTCTTATTCTCTCATAGTCCTGCTGGCAGTAGTAGATATGGCTCCTCTTGTAATGTCAGCCAGGGAAGCTCTCACCTAAGTGAGCTGGACCATTCCCATGAAAGTGCCCATGGCTCCGAGCAAGAAGATGATCACCAGGAAAGAGTGTCGAATCATTCCTACCACAGTTCAGGCAGCTACCAGAAGGATGGTCAGGCATGGCTCAGGGAGCAAGAGATGCCTCGTGGCATAGGAGAGGAGGAGAAGGTCTGCGAGACAGAGGAGAAATGTGCAGACCCTTCTGTAGCTACGTTGCCTGTGGAACTTGAGAAGCCCAAGGATGTTGATGAAGGAGCCCAAGTGAGGTAGGTGAAACTATTACTGAGTTCTTTTCAACTAATTCAAAAAGGATTCCTCTGTTTGCTATTTCCTGGGGCAAATGATGTACATTGTTCTTGCAGCCTTCTCTAACAACTAACTGGATGTTGCCGATATGTGAACATCTTTATGTGCAGGACCGATTATTTATGAGGCATTGGCTAAGCTTAAACTATGTTTGCTATGTATGCGAAGAAGAATGCCTGCTAGTGCCTTGGAGCTCATTTACTGTATTTTCTCTTTCTGGTTTGATGAATGTAGTCTGGCCCAAAGATAGCTGCTTCCATTGCTCATGTGTGATCAAGCTAACGTGTGAGCAACCAAGAGCTACATGTAGTCATGGTTAGAGCTGCACTAGTTCCTTTCTTGTATAGCAGGCTACCACAATTAGAGTTAGTGTTTATGTAGTTGTAGGTTGTAGAATTATAATATGAATAGACATGTTGCTCTGACTCACTGTGGCAGCTTTTCTTGTCCTTGCACTTGGGCTTTCCAAGCTGTCAGCAGTATTGAAAACAGTCTTCAAAAGTATTTTAGCTAAGTTTGGGGGAGTAATGTGCTGAGTTTTGTACAGGTTTTGCAGGAATTTCAAATTACACTACTTTCTGTCTTTTTTTCCTTGAGGTAATCAAGTCACTGCAGCCCCTAGTGTGGATATGGTCATTACTTTCATAAGTATGAGTGATATATTAAACCTGGTTCACTTAGATCCATGGAAAGATATCTGCCTGTCTGCATCCTTTGGAGTGTACAGCTGGTGTCACTGTTCTTATATGAGAGAACTAACCACAACAGTTCACGTATAGGCAACCCCTACACCAAAGATGAAAAAAGGAAAACAAGACTAGAAAAAGTGTTAAACTGTTTTTAAACTCTGACTCACTTTCCTCTTCTCCTTACAGAGCAGCAGGAGTCTTGTCCCAGAATGGCTGGTTTATATTTGTTCACAGGGAAGGTTATTCACATAGTCTATTTCAGGCTAATTGAGGCATCTAACTTGGATACTCCTTGGCTCCCTTTCTCTCCACTCTCTGGCAATGCATTCCAGTCTCCATGGAGTATGCATGGAACTGAGCTCTGAACCTTGCATCTGAGCTAGGTGGTGTAGCACGGATACATGTTGCTTTCAGCTATGTTTTTCTTAATACTGTCAGCAGTGTGGGGTGCTTTGCAGACAGGGAAGGATGTTTGTTTTGACACCTCGGCAACATACAAGAGAAGGAATGCAGCCAAAGGCCTGATGTGTCATGAGGTTAGGGAGTGTAAAATGTGCTGTAGGGCACTGAGATGGTGCATTGCTGCCAGATGCGTGTGCCCTCTTGAAAAGCAAGCTGTAGGAAAGGGTGGAATGAGAAGGGTGCAGTGAAGGGGCAAAACCACAGCTGAGCCCTGTTGCCAGTGTTTCCACTGAAGAGTGGCTTTAAATTTGTAGCAGTAGGGGTAAGCAGAAAGAGGTTAGAAGGGACCTGCAACAGGCATGGGGATGGAAAATCTTCCATCTACCTATGTGTGTGCAGTTGTACCAGTGTGTTGAACTGGCTTGGTCAGGTATATTGGACTGCTTTCCTAATGTTCTGACCAACATCATCTTACTCCTGGGGCTGGATTGTATCCTAGTTTATATCTTTCAGTTCATTAGTTTCCAAGATGGTTCCTGTGTATAAGGAAAATTGCTCACTTCCCAGAGCATGTGCAGGGCTGTGTTGATTGGAGCCTGTTGGTTACTTCAGCTTCCACAGCTGAAGCTGTGATTGTACTGTGTAATGTTGAATCTTTAATGCTCAGATGAGTGTTTTTCATATAGTGATTTTCTGTTTCTTGCCTTTAAGCTGTCATGGTGACAATGAGCCACCACCATTTCCTGCAGCAAGAGCCTATTGGATTAGAGCCATTAGCAAAGTTCGACTGCAGCTTCAAGAGGTAGGATGGAGTATTGCTTTGCTCCTTCTCTGTGCTACCTGGGTTTTAGATCTGTGGATGAAGGTTTCATTTCTTCTTCCTTATAAGACACCTCTTACAGTTTTGATGTTTTGCGGATAAAAAAATTAATCAAACATATTGTGTAGGACTGCAGATGTTGTGATGGTCTTAGAGCTATCTAGTTTTACCATATATTTTGAACATCATTGTGTGGAACTAAAGATGAATATCAGAAAAGATGCAGAAGAAGAGAAATTGGTTCTGAGTTTGTAAACAGTAATAATAATGTCTGGGACTAAATTGATTGTGTTAAACTGTTTGAAATGAAGACTTTTTCTCAAGGCAAGTTGAGGATAGCTTGTTAGCTTAGTAGGAGTTATCTGTATTATTTGTCGTGTGAAAATGTTCCTTGGGAAACTTTACATCAAATATTTTTATATATACTAATTGAAAGTGGGTGTATAGTAAGTCTTGGCATTTCCATCTCATGAAAGTAAGATGTAAAAATAAATAATCTTGATTTGGGAAGTCAAAAGGAAAAGGTTGTGACATTTTCTTCAACAGTATAAACACTCTTGTTTTAGAAAACAGCGATTAAGACTAAAAAAGTTGTTGTGTTTTTTTTTTTTTTAAGTCTTATGCTTTCACCCATCTGTATGCCCACAGAAAGATAACATATGGTGTTCATATTCTATAGATGGTAAACTACTACCCAAAGTGCGGAACTAATATATTTCATTTGGAAATAATACTTTCTTCTAGAGCTCTCTTGTTTTGTTTTTATAAGAAATTCTTTTACAGTACCTATCTACCAGTAGCAGGACTTTACCTTCTCTTCTGGATTTGTTGCAAACTTTTAGGAAAATTTTTTTTACGTCTGGGGAGGCATTTGAAGTGCCATCGTAGAAATAGTTTTTCCCTTGGCTTATCTGGGTTGTAAGTGCTTTTCCATCTAACAACTACTGTGTTACTTCACTTCTGAGCAAAAGGGATTTGGGTCAAAACTGTCAGTGTGACATGGAAACTGAGATTTAAGAACATTGTTAGTAGCTAAGAAGAAAAGGAACTCTTGTTGTGGTTTTGTAGAGCATGCAAGCAAAGCAGCTTAGTTCTGTGCCTTACAGAAAATGTGCACAAACATACTAAAAGGGATGAGGGATTCAGTGATGCCTCTCCCTGGATATCTCTTTTGTTTTGTTTTGTTTTTTTTTCCCTGAGAGAGTACAAGGTTCATGAGGTGGTTCAGCATCAATCTTTGTGTTTCTGCTGAATTGGAAGGAAGGCATGCTTTGCGATGACTGTTACAGAAACACTGGTTTAGTTATGATGGCAAAATGTCATGATTTGCTTTGCCTGGACTACTCCTAACAATTATTGATCCAAAATTTCATTGAAACAAAAATGTAAGAGAGAGACCTTCCCAGTAGTCTGCTCCAGAGCTTAGCTGTCTTGACTGTCCAAAGGCTTTCCCTAACCTCTGCTCTAGGCCTCTACTGTGCTGTATAAATCCATTTTTCGTGATTAGGACAAGTAATAAAGGAGCAGAACAGATTCCCTTCCTCTCTGTAAGAGTGAAGGGCTGCTGCAAAGAGAGGACAAAGGCCCACTCACTCTTCTCATGTTCACTAAATGATAATTTTTCTTTTAGCCTTTTCTTGTCAGTTTTTTTTTAGGGACTCTTTAATTAGCCTGTCTTTTTTTTTTTCCTTTTCTCTCCTCCTTTCTTTGTTTTTCTTGAAGTGCAGCATCCAAAGCTGAATGTAGAAACCCAGCTGAGAGCCTGCTCATGTGTATTACAGAGCAACGAAGACTTTGTTCTCCAGGCTGTGATCCTGATATCCCAAGATATCAAGTATCCTGCTGTGATGGTGCTTTTTTATTGCAGACTAACACTGATGCATAGTTAGCCTCTTATCCTTTCTAGAGCTGAGGTTCCGTCTGAAGGAGTGCTTTGTTAGTTGTTCCCTAGCTTGTATTAGTGTTGGATTACAGCTGAATATGGCTTTGCACTTGTTCTTACAGAATTCTTTTTTTTTTCACTCCTTAAGCACACTGCTGTCAGTCTCTTCCTAATCTGTTATGCCTACAAATCCTTCAAGTTCTATGTGAAAAAGTTCTGTAGTACCCAAGCTGCCAGGCTGTGTGCTACCAGAGCTGCCTGAGGGACCCTGCTTGAGACATTCTTTGAGTTTGGCTAGCCTGAGTATAATTTTTTCCAGTGTGTTTGCAGCTATTTGAGCAGTTTCATCCAGACCTCAGGATATAAAACTTTTGCTGTTCTTATCCTACCCCTAAGACTAATTTACATGTCATAAAAGGAAGTTAAATGCATTTGACACAGTTCTACTCTTGATGAAACCATGCTCACTGTTATTTCTCTCCTTTTTATGTTCTAGAAGATTTGCAAATAATTTGATTATTTGTTCTAGTCTTCAATTACCAGGGGATGGGGGAGGAAAGTCGTTAGCACTTCCATAATTATCCAAGTCCTCCTCTTCCTATTTTTTAAGCATAAATGTTTGCTCTGCCCGTTTCAAATTTTCAAGTGCATTGCCTGTTTTTCAAGTTCTTAGTGCTTTATGATTGTCACTGTTGCAACCTGGTGTCTGAGGATAAAGATTTTTCAGGGCCAGCTGACTTAGAAATAACTACCTTATCTGCTTGCTTTCAAATTTGTTTTTCTTTACTGCAGCCAGTTTTTTTATAACCTGCTAAACTTCTTTCTTCCTGCTTTAAAAAGACAATATTAATTCTGTCAGCTGCCTGACTACAGTTGTCCCTGTCAGTGAAGACTTGAAGCAATCAAGGCATCAAATGTTCCAGCCTTCTTAATGCCACCTGATGATAACTTTGTCTTCCTATGAGCAGCAGCCATGTATTTTTTGTCATATTCTGTGTTCATTGCTAGGTGTTTAATTTTGTGCTTCAGCCTGTTGATTTCTTCCCTGTGCAATCACGCTTGTCCCTAGAATCTTCCTCAAGAAGATCTCTGTAGTTGAAGGCTCAAGCCTTCTGAGGAGGGGGGACAAGTCTCTCATTGTATGTTCTTTCCTTCCTCTTCACTGGGATAGCTTGTAATTTTTTTCTGTTAATACTGTTTCAATAACTGTTAACAGCTTCCTGAACCCCCTGGTCCTTTAAACCTGTTTTTCATGAGCTCTAGCTACTGATTTTCTGCGTTTTTTATTAGTTTGTGTTCTTGGATTACATAGTGTTTTTGTAACTTGTCTAATTCCTTTCCTTCTAAGGAGTGAGGAAAACTGCCACAGTTTTCTCAGATGCATTTGCATCCTCATTTCTCTCTGTACTTCTGCTCAAGTCTAGAAGAGCATCTCTGCTCGTTGCTTTCTGCACCTTGTACATCGTCAGCTCATTCCTAGATCTTCTTTGAAAGTCAGTGATAAATATCATGATTTTAAAGGTCCCTGTGATGGCAGTCTAACCAGTTGATTCTGTTGGTAGTTAGAAAAGGTCACGTCTCATTTCTCTGATCACTTTATTAACATCTTGCCATCTCCCGTCATTACCTAGAAGCTTTCAAGAGGACTGTCCTTCTCTTTTGTTTCAGCTGATTATGTCCTTAATGTTCAAAGCAATGCCTCCAGCTCTTTTCCATGTTCCTCTTCTTCAATGTGCAATATAATTTCATTAATACGTGTGGAGTTCCAGCATATGGATCCAAACTGCTGGATTCCTGTCACATAGACCACTGAAATGGTTCTTATGACTCTTAATTGTTAATGATCTGGCTGAAATTGGGAAGAGAAGAGAAGGGAAAAAAGACACTCAAGAAGTTTCCATATGTGATGTGATTATAAATCCCCTGAGCAATTCAGCCTCCTACCTGGGAAGAGATTAATATTCATGTGAATAATATACATGCATCCTACAGCACCATGAGTCAGAGAAATGCAGTATTTTAATTAAGACTTGACGGTTATAAAATGGCACAGAAATTTGTAACTGTGCACGTTAAAAAAGCTTTGTGGTAGCATGCACGGTTTTTTTCTTCACTTCTGCTGTTTTCCTTATTCTCTTTCTCAGTTTGTGAAGAAGAAACTTAGTTATGCCAGAACCAAACCAGGGTTTTCAGCCCTGAGAGGAATGACTCAATAATTCTCACCTTCACACTTAGAACTTTGTCTACAAAGAGGGATTAATTGATAGCTTGTCTGCTGCAGTCCCTCTGTGGCAGCTTCTTTTCCAGAAGAACAAACACACAGCTATTGCATCTTCAACTCGCAGCGCTCTTTAACTGAAATAGCCTTCAGCTAGGGACACAGCTGTGTGACTTTTAAAATCAGACAAATTTGAATCTGAGTTTTGTATAATACAGAAGAATTGGCAGACTGGAGAAAAGCAAAAATTCAGTCAAGTCATCAAATTAACTCTTACCAATTCCTTCAAGTATATTTAAGCATTGCAAGAGGGTATGGCGTCTGCGGTTTTATCACTTATACTGAATTGGTTTACAGGGTAAAAAGTCGTATGCATCATTTTCCTCTTTTATGTCAGGAGATTAAATACATTAATTTACTTGTTTTCATTTGAAAACCAAAGTCATTGGAGCAGTGTTTCGTCTTTGGTTTTTATTTTGAGAAAGAAAGCAGTTGGTGCAAACCACCACTCTTCCCTCTTACATAGCTGTGGGATGCCCTGAAGAGTCCTCTCTGGACTTCTGCTGTTAGTGAGGAGACCAGCAAGGCACTAGCTGGTGCCAGTTTTGGTTGCTAGTTTGATTGTAAGTTATCTGCCTGACTCCACTCCCCACATCTGAATCCAGGCCCTCTCATCAGTAAAACCATTTACTGTACGCCAGCCCAGATGACTAATGGAGGACATGCGTGCTTTGAGCCAGTCACCAAAAGATGAGAAACTGCCCCTTTCCACCTCTCATGTCCATACAATAGTTTACTTTCAGCATTTTATTTCCCTTAAGCTTTGTTGCCTAGGTGTCTTTTTATCAGTCCCGTGAAGATGAGTAAGCTCTGCATTTTCAA